CGGGAAGTCAGTCAGAGTTGGGGGTGCGTGCAGCGTCTCGCAGCGGAGTAACTGTGGTGCGGGGGGGGGGGCTGCGAGGGGAGCCTCGCAGTTTTTCAGGTTGATATGTGAAGCTCATTAGCTAGCCAACATGTATCTAGCAAATGTTTAGCAACATATAAGAAGTGAGGCTACTAGACTAACGTTAGGTCTACTGTAATAGCCTCACTTTTAATATTTTGCAAAACATTAGCTAGCACTAGTGTTTTACAGTTGCTAGCAGTTTATTGGGATTTTATGCTAGATAGACAGGCAATCTTTTGATTTAATAAATTAAACATTATTGTTAGTTAAGCATGTCAGCCTGCAGCCCCACTTTTAACTCTCTGTCTCTCTCTAACTCATTGCAGATCTGCACTAAAAAAAAGGAAACCAGTTGTAAGATGTTTAAAAGTTCATTAAACATAATATATGCTTAAATGCATTTCAAAGAGGTTGTGTTTGTGTTATTCTACATTTTGACACCAAGATTTTTTGATTTTACTGCAAATGTATATCGGTTATCGGTCTCCTTGATTACTAATAATCGGTATCGGTCTTGAAAAAGCTATATCGGTCGATCCCTATTAGAAACCCACTAACAAAGCACGGACAACTTGTGCGAGTACAATTTGCCGGTTAACTTTTCAAATTGTCATTACATTTTAGACGCTTTTATCCAAAGCAATTACAGAGGGGACCAAGAAAAGCAGCAATATTTTATTAGCGTCTGCGATAATAAATTGGTAATTAATCAAGAAAGTTAGAGTAAATCTGTACTGAAATCACACTTCCTTTAAAGACATCCAGTGTGTGACTAACTCAGACTATTTAAACCTAATATTATATATTGTGTTGTTTCTGAATAAAAACAGAACTTTCAAAATAATGTGTGATTTTTTGCTATCCTTTAGGTTTTTAGCTTCTTACATAAAGACTGCAGCAGTTGCTCAGCTTATAAACTTGAGTATGTTCATTCATCGGTTTACGGTTAACTCCCGTGTGTTAATGAATGGGTTGCATAGTACCTTGAGTTTGTTTGCAAGTTGCTGTTTCTCCAAGGTGAGAGCAGCAATCTTTGCTTGCAGAGCAGAAACCAGCGCTGCAGATGCTGTAGAACTTTGCTCGACCTGTCAACACATTCACAGAGGCAACGTTAAGGACCACTAGCTGCCTTCTGAAAAACAAAACGAGTCGTGACACGTATAAAGCTTAGGTAGACCTCCTTCAAGAATGCCCAAGGTGAAAAGGTTCAGCGGTACACAGCTGTCTTTTGTCAAAGTATTGTATTACACTGACAAAGGCAAGTGTTGATTTAAGATTTCTAACAAAGACTTTTAGTAGTAAAAAAATGTTTTTGTGGGAGCCTTGGAAACGTGCACCCTCTTTAACAGTTACATCGCCTTTTAGTTTGAGTGAGTAAACTTGTGATTTATAAACAATAGCTCAAAATGAATCAAAAGCACCATGCAAAACACCCATCTTTATCTTCATCCAGATAGGAAAACATATGTATGCTTTGGTAAAACATTAAATAACAATATGTAAGTACACTCGATGCACGTGCTGCACTCTACGTGATAAATGCTCTGCTTCTCACACCAAACCTCTGACGTCATTCCGTAGAGTGAAAAGTCATCACATCTGTTTTCCAATGGGCTCAGCTGTGATATACTACAGTCACTAAAGTGTTGATCAGTCATTAATCACCTTTGTCTCCGGGTCGGGGCCCGTCTGCTCCACCGACTGCTTCAGGTCTTCGATGGTCTCCAGCAACATGGTTTTCTCCTCATGGAGCTTCTCAACCTCCGCTCTCAGCGTCGTACCCCTGACCTCATCCTCCTTTCAAGTGAGAGCAAGGAGGAGTGGAGGAAAAGAGGAGTGGGAGGAGAGAAAAGTAAAGGTGAGAAGAGGAAGAGGACAAATGAACAGAGGGAAAAGGGCACTGTGAAGGCAAGAGTTTTGCTAATTGGCACATGAGATCTGTGTCGTAAATCACTAGTTAATTATTGTAGTTGAGTTAATTATGTAGGAAAATGTCTCCCTCTGGAGTTGAAGTCAAAGAATGTGAAAGGTTTGATTTGTCATTCCTGAGAAACTAGCATGTTTGCAACATCACACCTGATCACAAATCTACACAAACCTTTTATTGAGAAATCACAAAGAAACAGTGCAGTTTTAATCAAGGACAACATTTATATATTAACCAATCATTATTTATTTATTTGAGGGAAGGTTAACTTCATATATTGATATATTTATTTTGGTTTTCTGATTATCTTGTCTAAGAGTGTTATAATATCATACCAAACTGTACTTATAACTTTAAGTTCTTTAAATTACCATATCAAATGTGTCTGTTGATTGTGTGTATATAGGATATATATATTTAAACATTTGTATTTGGGATTGTTGGAAACGTTATTTCGATCTCTGTCTGTACACACAAACTGAAAGATTGACATTAAAGTTAACTTTTTGATAATGAAAATAATTATTTCTCCTGCTGGTTCCCTTCTCCTTATTAAGAGTATATAATTAAATAATTGTACGTTTATTTAAATGTATTAAAAATAGAAAATCCTCCCCGCCTTTCTGAAGTTGTTATATTTGTCATGTTTTAAAGCTTGTCATTACCTTGTAGTTGAATCTTTTGGGAGTGTCACTTGTGTTGGATCCTGGTGTCCCACTGGAAGTTAGGACAGAGGGAGAGGAGGGCCCAGAGCTCTGAAGGAGGAAGACTTATTTTTAGATTTTTTGTTATAATTTTGTTGAGAAAAGGCCAACAATTGTTGAACTCTTTTCAAAACAATTCAAATATGATGGTTATGATCTGATGTGTGTATCATGAACGTTTATCGATCCTAAACTCTGGAGAACACAAGGCCTGTTAGTGCATACATTAAATAAAGAAAAACATGAGTGAAATAATTTGGCAAAAGTTGAAACTAATGAGGGACTGAATGATAAAGAAAACAAAAGTATAGCAGGTAATCCAACACACCGGGTAGATACAGGTCTGACTACTCATTGTATAAACATCCTGCAGACATGCATTTATAAATAGTGCCATGATGATGAAGCAGATACAAAGAGAGACATGCGTTACCTGCAGTGGGCTAATAGGAGGTGGAGGTGCTTTTCTTTTTTTGGGAGTTGTGATCCGTTCATCACTTAGTTTAGCTACTTGATCATGCTGAGGAGCCAGGGAAGAGAGAAGAGAAGGAGGGTACCAGAGAGAGAAGAAGAAAGGAGGCGTTCAGTGCTGGTTAGTAAGAGGAGGGTCCATCAATGAGAGCTGATGTAAGACTTGAGTATAGTTTTCCAAAATAGCAACTCAAATACTGTTGTCAGGCTGAGAACTTTGACACCGAAGAAAAGCTGCATCTACACGACAGAAACTAAATAGAATTTGGCTTTAGATTTCCATCACTATGAATCAGATGGAAACAAATATTTGGACTCATCCACTACTAATGATAATTGATAGGTGCAGGTGTTTTAGTAACTCTGATTCCATGCTGGTGTGTTACCTGAGGACTTCGAGGAGACTTTGTATCTGTCAAAGGAGAAAAGGGAAAACACGCAAAAAATAAATAATGATGTCTTTCTCTTTAGATATTTTAAATATTTCTAAAACATTTGACATTGCATTCAAAGAAAACAGCTAACACCAAACATGTGAAGTAAAATAAAAACAGTACCAGTGGGATAACTCCAGGTGGCAGTGTTGACTTAGCGTTGAAACCAGAGTGATACAAATCTCAACCACATGAGTGATATGTTTGTCTGTTTAGAAGACAGATATCTAAACAGTACCATGATGGTGACTCATACTGTATGCCCTCTTTGGGCAAAAAGCTGGTCCTGACAAGATTAACCATTTAGACGTAAGGTTAGGGTTAGGTCTGAGTTTAGGTACAGCACGGCTTCAATTTTCAAGTTAGTTGCCTATTTGCTAAATCAATTGATAAAACGTTTTGTCTCCTAAATGTAAAAAAAAAAAAAAAATTCAATCATATTTACTTTAATGTGATAAAAAAAACTGAGAAAAGCAGGAAATCTCCATATTTTGGCTATTTTGGCATGTAGAATAAATACTTATTTATTAAGTGACTAATCGTTGCAGTTATAACTCAGTCACCGAGAAAAATAATTAATAATAAGTTAATGCATAATTTTGGCAACACACAAAGACTGGCCTTAGGCTGCTTCAATGCTCAAACTGTGTGTGTGTGTGTGTGTGTGTGTGTGTGTGTGTGTGTGTGTGTGAATAACATTTACCTAGGCCCTGATGGCTGTTCAGGGCAGCAGTGAGGAGGGTTTTGATCTCAGAGTTGCCCGACAGCTTGGCGTAGTGTGAGACATCGTGGCCTTGTGAATCTGCAGCCGTCAGATCTGCTCTTCTCTGGATCAACACTTCAACCACAGAGAGCGCGCCGGACTCAGTGGACAGCATCAGGGCCGTCCTGCAACGCAGAAAATAACAAATATTGATGCCCAATGCAACACCTGCAAGTGTCTGTAATAAGTCATCTCTCTTGACTGTGTTTGTACCTGCCACTGTTGTCAAAAGTGTTGACTTCAGCACCGCAGTCCAGCAAAGTGCTGCACACCTCAGCATGCGCATGTTTGGCTGACAACAGCAAAGGAGTGATCCCGTCCTTTAGAGCAAACAGACGATACAAACATTAGTTATGATTGCAATCATATAATGGAGGGATGAAAAACCCAACACCTCATACGTTATCTGGAGTGACATCAGGACGTGGGCCTGGACATGAACTAAGGTCAGTGTCTGTGTGGTGAGAGAAATCTCAGATCCATGTGAAAGAGGACAGGATGTTCCTGACTGAATTTCCCGGCAGATAAACAGAAAAGCCAAATGTTTTCTGTGTTCTGAGGAGGCGTAGATTTTGATTATGGATTATATATTATTTACATTTCCAAATGAACAGGCTGACTCAGTGGAGTGTATTGCCCCAAGTTCACCAACTGAGGCAGTATTTTATGAAAAGCAATCCCACATTTCTTGACAAATCCTAACCCCAAGCATGACATTTAACCTAACCTTAAACCTCTATGACCTAAATCTAACTCATGTGATTGGCCGGGCTTTTGGATGGCAGTGTACAGCATGGAAGGAGCTGCTGCCAGAAGGCTAAGTTTAGGGCAGAAAAACCTCATCTTCACTAATCGTTAAACAACAGGTAAGGAACTCTATATTAAACTGTGTAGACATTTACACTGGTCATTTATATTACATGCAAGTTAACCAAAGTGGAACAAATCCAGTCATGTTCAACTGTGGGGGAAAAAAGCACAAGAATGTCAAGAAAACATAAAGTGTGTCAGCATGGCTCTGTGTTTTATATTACAAGGCTGCTGCTTGCACACACCACAGAGAACCAAACTATGTTGTGGGTTCCTCTGAGCTCTGCTAAATACTTTAACAGCCCTGTGTCTGCTCCGCTCAGTCTGTGCTTCTTCTCAGGAATCTAAAATACAGACATTTCAGGGTAATAGACTTAGTGTCTGTGTGGATGAACGTGAGAGCACAGGTGTATAAATGTTCGTCTACACTATGGATTATGTTTCAAACTTGCTGTCAATTTAAAGCCAGACTACCAAATGAGGGCAAAGATGTCAAGAACTGGAGCAGCAGCCATCCCAGCTAAGTGTCATCATTTAGGAGGCCTGCCAATCAAAGTCAGCACACACAAACATGGGCCTGTTAAAAACGTAATACACTCCTAATGGGACAATAACTATCAAAACTGCCACAAAAACACACATAGAGTCTAAATTGGCTTTTAACCTGCTACTTGTTCGGAGAAAAAATAGACCAGTGATGAACTTCAAAGAGAAGAAAAATCCTTATATATAAAAAGTTCTGTGGTGATCGCTACTTGATAATCACATACTCAATATACAGCAGGTCTGTGTCACAGTCTGGTAAATAATATTTGAAGTATATGTGACGTACTTTAGAAACTTTTTTCCCCACCTCATATTTTATGAAATTAGTGGATTTATTTTATTTTAATCCTTTTGGAGGCTGGGAGAGGTAAAACTATCTACAAAAATAAGAAAAAAAGTCTGGAATATTTACAGCCAGAATTGTTCTTTTTCCTTCTGTATCCTGCCTCGCCGTACAAGGTCATCAATCCCATGTGGGGAATCATTGCTAAAACTCCTTCTGAATCACTGACTAGGCCACTTCCTGGTATGTGGATGTCCACTGGACCAGCCTAGAACCTGATCATGCCTGTTTAATTTTTTACCATAATGACTAGAATAAATGTGCATGCTTTCATTTTGTAGAACTCATTCGCCTATGATTAACAATGAGACTACAGCAAACTGCAAATTAGTATTCACACTAACATTAATACAAACTAAAGAAATCAACATTCCTACATATTTCAAATGTTTTATTACATTGTCCTTTGTGAACGCTATATGACATACGCGATTTCACTTTGTACTACTAGCTCACCTGATCACATGTTCAGCAGTTCAGTTTTATTCCAGACTTCTTTATTTTGTTTATCTAGCAATACTTTTTAAACACTCTGCAGTTCAGCTAGAAAGATAAATCATTCAGACTGATATGTATTGGCCGAGATTATTATACATTGAACCAAACTACTACACTATAGGCGCATATATATGTTTACCAAATACTGATCAGTATCAGCCTAAAATGTTAAAGTATAGACAGGGCTATAGTCTGTATATAAACAAGCTACATGACTAACTTGTCTAGAGAATAAAGTACCATCATGTTTATTCCAAATTGTCACATTTGTAGTCTTCTACTCCTTCACCCACTCAGACCGAACGCATAGATGCCAAACAATTAACGGGGCACGTCTGAATTGTATCAAGGCTGGATTTTCTCAGAGTAATTGAGAAATATATTTCTTTCCAACTGAAAACATAAGGAAGCGTTTACACTATATACTGTACTACCACTGTCTGAGCAGAATTTAAGTTTACTTGATTTTCTATAAACATTCCTTGTCTGACATTTGAGAAACCTGGCAGATGTTCCTGTGTTTCTTTCTATATCTTGCTGTGGGTTTATTTAAGTCAAATATAGACCAGGTATAGATATGAGTTACAGCCATGATGTCTGCCTGAGGCTAACAAGCTGGCCTGTTCTGCTCACAACACAAACAGCCATATGTTCCACACTTTGTGGTTATTAGTCTATGTGTACAGCGGACAGCATTGTCGTTAAGCTACGGAAACCTGCTTAACAATTTTAAGATTGATTGGCAAGATATATTGCAAATGTCACAGAAAGAATGTGTGGTTAGGCTGGCTCCAACTATATCGGATGTCAGGAACACAATTATTTAGTTTAAAGTCCTCGCAGCCAGTGGTTTACAGAGGTAGCATGAACCAGTTTCAAAAGCCACAACATACAACTTGTCAAAGGCTTGAACAAGAACGAGGGGGCAATTCATTTTAATTAGAAATACACAAAACATCTTAACATGTCGGCCTCTATTAGAGACCACTGTGTGGGTGTGTCAGAGTGAGTGTGTGTTTATCTCAAGCAGGCCAGCTGTGGCATGATAATAAAAAGGGAAATAAATAGGAAACACATTCTCTTCCCCTCTTCCTTATTTATATTCTCTCACTTGCTCTCTTGTTATCACACACACACACACACACACACACACACACACACACACACACACACACACACACACACACACACACACACACACACACACACACACACACACACACACACACACACGAAGTAAGTCACACTAAGTGTATGGGAGAGGGATTAAACAATAAAGGTCTCTCTTTATTACAAGTTCTCTCAACTACGAAAAACCTCCAAAAGAAAAAGACCTTTAATGTCTGTTAACCAGACACCAACGTTGTACACTGAAAGACGTTAATAGAGACATTTTATAGAATAAATTGAATAATAATAAATGATAATACAGGAACTAAAGAAGATTTCTCGTCTCCATTTACCATAAACAAATTTCCACCCATCAGTAAAACCTCTTTGGTCGATCTTAAACTTTTATGTGTCGGCCTTCTTTACACGGTGAAGGAATGTCTCGGGAGAGGTTGTATGTGTTTGCGCGTGTACTGTTACTCTCGTGCTCTTTCAACACGTGTCACCTCCGACTGTCCTGTCCACCGGTAGGTCAATAAATCGGCCCGGCCGAGTTACTAACAAGCAGAAAAATGTCATTGATGCCGAAGGTGTCTACTGTACAAACATACTAAAAAAACTAGTTTGTGGAAGTCTATAGTAACGATAGCCCTACAATTCTCCGTAAGTACCTTATATTTGTTGTCACATAGAGCCGGCCAAAGGAGTTTGAATGGATGGGTGGAAATTGACCAAATTCTAGATGTTATCTGCTATGAGAAATTGTCTGTAAAGGAGAGCAAACAGGAATAATCTACGCTTATTATTAAAGTTTTCACCCCACACACCCACCGGGACACGTAAATAGCACACCTTACACACACCTCCATCCCCCAGTCCCATGACACCCTTGAAACGAGAGTCCGGTGTCTGTACACCAGATGGTACGTCACTAACGTGGTACGGACACCAAAATTTGGGCATCACACACACCACACACACACACACACACAC